ATGACTGATTCATTTAAGAAAAAAAATATGAATTGAAGCAGTGTAGTAAATAAAGTACAGTGACTCACTGATGTGAATGCTTCCACTTATGGAATACTCAGAGTAGTAAACTTTGTTTCACGAAGTTATGTTTCTTGCATGTTCAGATTACATATTCTTAATTATCAGAAGTGATCTAAGAGTGTTGAGTACATTAATTATTGCTCAGGCACTTACTCAGTGAGATAGAGAGAGTGTGTATGTAATCAGTGTGTATTATGAATGTTGATGGAAAACTGTATTACTGTATTTACTTAGATTCTATAATGCATAATCCGCAACTGGTGTCTTGTTGTCTCTACACAAGCATTTGCACAAGTATTTACGAGATATATTCATTCTTCATTTTGGTTCTCATCTACTGCCTGATAATCTTGTTATGGCAGATGGATTCGACAGTGCTTCCTTCTTAGGGGTTGTCATTTCGTACTTGGAGGGCTAAAGGTTACTATTTACGGTAAGCGTGAATTTTGACAGAATCAACAGACATACAGGGATGCATAAAGACTACAGAGAATTGAGGGATTACTGTTGAGAGATAAGTGTTCATTATGGGACATGTTAGTAAGTTCGCCTTAGATAGTCCACCCGGAAACAGCTTGGTTACATGCTTGATAACAATTTAGCCGCATTAAATTCACAAACTTAAACATTACCAATATGATACTTATCAGTGTTTCTTTGAATAAGGATGTAGTTCTATTGGTATTTTCTTCACTTAATGCAGTCGAAGCTGGAGTCAAACACTTTTCAATACAAAAACGATAAGTGATTTTTTCTGTCCTTAATTCACCACAGAAACAGTTTTGATATCTTATCCCATCGAAACATATGCGTGCATCACTGTATTTCTAATTTCGCTGTTTAACATATAACTTATTTGTTCAAATGAATATTTGTTGACATGTAGAGCTCTTCGGATTTAAATAGGAGTACAGACAATTTACATATGGACAAACATATTTTCTATCCAACTACAAATATACGGTAGGATGTTATCTTCATCTAAACTATGTAACATGTGGTACTAGTCCAACAGACTTGATAAAATCACAAATTCCCTAGTACTTTTTCTCGATCAGTATTTTCGTTTATCTTTCTGCCTTTAATTAGGGAGGACACAAGTAGCCTGATGAAACAGTTATTTAGTCTAGCATATTTTTAATTTGCTCTCACAAAAGTTATATATATATATATATATATATATATATATAGTAATGATGCCTACGGAAAATGAAACCAAATCAAGAAGACATTTGTTTGCAGATTACACGCGCCTTCACGCATACAAATTACTAATTATAGATGTTTTTGAGAGAGTGATCAAATACAGTCGTGTCTGTATTATGGCATTATTTTCTTTATGGAAAAATTAGTTTTTCATTTTATTAAAGCCTCTTGACCAGTTTTTATTGCTAACTAGTAGAATCCTCCCTTTCTGGTTTCATTTATTCTGTCTAATTTTTCCACAGGTTTCAGATTTCCAAGTGTATCATATGCATATAAGAATTAAGAAAGATTTAAAACAAAGAGAATAATTATTCACTATTCATATATGAAGAGGGGGTGGGGAATCGTGTGTACAGAAATAGATATCCTTTCCAACTAAGTTACCTCAGAAATAATATCCATATTCTTTTGTTTATCACACTATTAACTGCTACTACTAGTTTTTATGATGATAACAAGAGTAGTATTAAGAGCAGGTGCACATACTTATCAGTATTACTAGTAAACATGTTAGACTTATACGGTGTTTATTTTACTGAACAAGTGAATGTATTTCTTTCAACTCCCCCAAGATAACGGTTATCTTGTATCATAATTTTTCCTTTGGCCAATTGTCCTTCACGATAATTTAAAAATCTCTTCAGTTGTATATATGTATATACAACATACTGCACTGTCAAACTGGAATATCTTTTTCATCCACACTTGATTATGCTGTAAAGATTTTCCCAATGTGTGACTATTTAAACTAGGCCGAATCATGACAGATTTAACCTGGTTTATGTGCCAATAATTTTTTTCTTAGAAAACATCTGTACAACCAGATAAGTAGATGATCTAGATGCTGACTGTATAACAAAGTGAAAGTTAGCTGATGGGGTAGGGGACTAAGTCCAATTGATAAGTGGGCATATGTTTAAGGAAATACTACAAAAAACTTAAAAAGATTTTATATGTTATCACTATTTTAGTGACTAAAGTTTTTCTATAAAAACTCTACAAAATAGCAAACAACATTGCAGGGTAAATAACCCTGAATGTTCAACATGACAAAAAATACTCTTTTTCACTATGGAGACAAATCCTTTGACCATCAAATATCCACATTATTACCAATACTCTTTTGGGTCCTGAGTGAAACATAGGGATTCAACAGCACACGTCCATTTTATCCAGTTCTCTTAAGTCCTTTTTAATTGACTCATCGAGTGTCCATATAATATCATCTCCTCTTCACACGATCTCCTCCATGTCACCCTCGAATACCCAACCCTCCGTTTCCCATTCCAGTTTCACTAGAAGGCCTTGCCTGAGATGTCACTCAAAGGTCTTCTCAGTGTGTGAATTATTGCTATCCACTCCTATTTGTATATTTTTTGAGAGCCAGCCGGTGGGATAGTTCGTTCCTAGAGTTCGTTGTTTCTTATTCTTTCTGGTCATTTGATCTTCACTACCGAGCGCAGGCAGATTCTTATGAAAGTCTGCAGCCTATTAGCAATGCTTTGAAAGATGCACGAAATTTATGAACCGTAAAGAAGTATTGACCTGGCATGAATATTGAAAATCTGAATGCAGCGGATTTCCGAACTAATTTCAGAGTGATGAAGGTCTGCCTTATCTCTCCAATATTGGCCTCCATTGACATCCTCATGTATGTCGCCTGTAGTGGAAACCATTCTGTTTAGATGAGTGAAAGAGGTGATCTCGTTAATACTGATTGATGCTTGTTTTTGTTGGTTATCTTCACCACTTCTGTATTCTCTAAGCTTTCTTGAAGTCCTGTCTCCGCCGATTCTGATACCAACTTGTTGGTTTTCGGCTGGAAGTCTTCGAATTTACGTAACATGGGAAATAAATCATTCACGAAGTCTAGATCTTTTTCTTCCTATTGGTCCAAAATATACCTGTCTTTTTGCAATCCATAGTCTGCTGCATGATGATCTCCCACAATCAGGAATATCACTGGTGATAGTTGGCGGACTCACGTTACTCCTGTCCTCCCTTCAAGGGCTTCTCCGAGTTCTGCATTGTGAAAAACCTGACATGTGGCATCGTCATATGGTTGTTGAATGAAGTGGATAGAGATTCAAGGCTTTCCACAGTGTTGAAGCAGCTTCCAAATGACTTCGCTCCAGTTTCTGCAAGGGTCCGTCTTTGATAATTTGACAGAATAGCCTTCCTTCCAATCAGTAGGCAATTTTCCTTTCCTCCGAGTCTTCTGCAGTGGTAGTGTGAGGATATCCAGTGAAGTCTCTGGATCCATTATCATTGCTACTGGGTGGAATTCCCTCTGATGCCTTCTCGGGTGTCTTCCATTTACTTTATGGCATCCCAGGCTTCTACTTTTGCTGGAAACCTGGTGTCCACTGGTAATTCTGTGTCTGTTGATGGTATTTCTGGACGAGTTACATTTATATATTTTACTTTTTTCATTTACTCGGCACATTGTGACGTCATATAATATCACTTCAACCACTAGGAAATTTAACCAGTAAATAAAATTTAATATGAAGATTACGCAAATTGACAGTAGTAGGTTTATGAAACTATGGACTATTGGGTTCAGCATTCTGTTTTTTAAAGTAGTTTGTTACGAATTTCCTCATTTGCTTCCTTATTTATTTAATAGTTTGGAAGTCATATTGTGTTACAATCCTCACAGAACACCAAAGAGCAATGTATCTATAAGTGACTACTAGATATTTAGATTTTATGCTTTTACTTTACTATCGTCTGTGAGTTAGTTAGTGCATAACGGTAAATCGACATGTAATGCTAATACACTCAGTGAGAAGTTTTTTACTCTCATACATCCTCATAGTTAAGAAAAAGCATATGAGGTAATCTAAGTTCAGTGAATATTCTCTAGTTCAAGATTAACTCTACTGTTTGTATCCCTTGAATGTTCATATGAATACATCTCAATAAGTAAGACTCACTTCATTGTAAATATTTGTATATTAACGAATTCCAGGATAAGTAGTTCACTATTTATAAACATCTATTTGCAGTATATATTATAACACCGAATTACTATAACACGGAACATTATTTCTTTATACATACACCAATGTGAATTTTTAGCTGATTTTTTCATTTTATTTGGGAAATCCTTATTGACAGTCTAATACCACTGTAATATATGAGATGATAATCAGTCATGTCATCTTGTTTTGTACAATGCACCAACATCCCACATTCATTCTGGTCAAAAAACAACTGTCTGAAATACTTTATCACACATAACTTTCTCCATAGAAGAGTGTGTCAGAGTAAAGGGGCTAATCTGAGAAAGAACAGTGATTTGTTTCTAATCTACAATTCAATTCTTTTTTCCACAGTATTAACTGAACTTAATTCTAAGCACAAGAATAACATGAAAATAGCAAAGCTTGATATTAATAATGAGTCGATACTATGCTCAATCATGAAGAATAATAACCTCAGACAACCAGTCAGATAGATGTTATACCAAAATCAATTTATGTATGGTAACAGATTTGATTTGGCATAAAACAACAACTATGGGTGACTGAGACATAATTTTTAATAGCGAAATAGACTGAAAGTTAACAGTATGTTGCTAGGCCATTCAAATACATCAGAATAAATGTGTCCAAATACTAGTTTGCTCATAATCCTATGTCTTTTGAATGACTTAGCAACATGCAGTTTACCGTGAGACCAAAAATTTATTTTTCTTAACAATCTCCTGAAACATTAAGTCTTACCAGCTACACTGGCTCTATCCTTCCTTGGGCATCCAGATACACTAAAGTAAAAAAAACAAAAAAAACAGAATAAGGAAAATCGATCATTTCAGTACACATAAGAGATGACTATGCAAATAATGAAAAGTATTTCGTTTAGTTACTAACACACTATTTAAAATAATAATAAAACGCATCTGATGTCAACATACCTTTAACATGTGGTGTGCTGACTTTTATTTAAAAACATAGTAACTCTAGTAGTGTCTACAGTAAAAGGCTAGCTGCTGAGTCATTCAGAAAACTGCATAAGATTATCAGTGAACTAGAACTTGGACACAATTACTCTGATGCCATTGAACAGCTCGAGTAAAGTGTCAAACTTGCATAATACATAGTGTTATTAAGGTTGTTTGAGCAGTCGAATCCATTTATTTACAGCCATATAACATTTGAAGCTAACTGGTGAATGTTGACTAGCAGTGGAATCCAGGATGCGCATTTCGCCCTATTTGGGACTCGTCATATGGATGCACTTGCATTCTGCTGTGAGTGGTGATGTTCCCGCAGATGCTCGAACCCAGTGCCCATAGTTTCAAACGCCAAAGTGTTATCCACTTGACTATTTGGGCCGCGGGTCATATTAATTATTTAATTCAATTTTAGATTTTCCCGTCAGTTGATTGGACCGAAGTGCTCAGTCTCAAGTTGACATGTCGGCTTCTTCTGCAAATGCTTCTAAAATTGAATTAAATTTGATATTTGAGTCTAAAAACTGATTCAAGAATGTGATAAACTAAGACACTCAATTAAAGTGTAATCTTTTTGAAGTGCCTTAAAACAAGCTCACATAAAATGCCTTTTGCAAAATTTGGCATATTACTCTCTATCTTAACACTATAATTGCGTTCACTTTATTGCCTAGATTGAATTGGTTTGTCTCGAATATGTTGGCATTCATCAAATGATTTCCAAATCAGATCTTAGTAGGATTTACTAATAGTTGCAACTTTCATCCTTCAGAAGATCGACATAATGATTTGGGATGCTGCCAAGTGAAATTACAATTCTGAAATGAATATGTTTATTCTCTGACAATTTACTCAGGGATTATTATTCTTATCGTCTGCTTCAATAATTTACAAGGGTTTAATTAGTTCTTCTTCGGGTACTTGCCTTCTGTGATATGAATAAAGTCCTGTAGCATGTCCAGTACCATCACAGTCCCTGATGGGACACCTTCCCTCTGTATTCCGCCCTTTCTTGGTTGCTAAAAATTAAAGGTAAAAAGATTTCTTTTAGTTGACGAAAGTTTAGAGAAAAGTAGTATAAACCAAAATGACTATTATCCAAATACTTCTTAATACAGGGAAATAGAGACTGGACAGCTCTTACAATTATTATTATTATTTTTTGATTATAGCGTGATTCCACACCGTATTTTTGGTACAAGTATGGAATTTTCAGCATGTGATGTTGGTAGCCCAAATTTTGCAGGCCAACTATTGATATCAAGTGTGCATCGGCAGGGGACTGAAACCCAGGACCATGTGCATGGCTGGCGAGAGTCCTAACCGCCGTGCCACCGACCCACGTTTGTTGAGGAAATAAATAATCTTATTAGACTCAGGTCTTGAAATCCATGAAAATGATTCGAATGCACAAATATCATTTGATTACTGTAATCTTAATCAATACACAACCAGCGATATTAATTGCATTTTTGTAGATGACGATGGACTTCGTTTTAACTGTTGTCGTTGTAAAGCACTAATGATTTCTTCTGATTGGAATTTCAATTTAAAAAATGTCTGAACTTAGTAGCGGACTAACCGCCGCTTGATAACTTTAATGCTGCTTGAAAGACAATGTGCTATATGTCAAATTAATTGATTGTGTGTTTCGAAACCCCAGTGTTCATCTTGTTTTGGAATTTGGTTTTTCACTGTTTCCATATTTCCACTGCTATAATTTACCTCATGTATAAGTAATCTTACATCAGAAAACATTTTAACCTTAATTGGTTCTATGATTCATCCTCACCACATGACTTTCGAAGAACTCATACTAACGCAAAGTAAACCATACTTGTCCTGCAAATGGTGATTATCCAGCGAACAATACAATATGGCAGAAGATGACATTCTTATGCTCTGAAGTCACTCAGCGGAATATGACATTTGAGCACACCTCAGAATAAGTGACTAGGGTATAAGCGAGGGAAATATAAGCCAAGACAATATCATTCAATCTTTCAAAGACAAATTTATTATATTTTGATTCCTAAATTTCTTGATTTGCTGCCATGTATATTATTAGGTATAGTCTTGCTAAAGAGCATATCTACATAAGTTCTTCATTAAGCACTACAGTTTAGATTGTCACTTATTGATGGGTAAGAGAACTGAATCCTTTTTCCAATTTATGACATCCTCAAATTTTAAGATTACACGATTATCTAGGGTGATTTTTTGTCATAAAAAATAACTATTTGAGCAAAAGCAAATTAATTAAGTATGCGAAATCCCAGTACCTTGAATGGACTTCATTTTAAATGGGATTTGTTTTTGAAAATTCTGTCCTGATGAATGGTCATATGAACTTTTAACTTCTTGCTTATGTATTTCAGAAGTGGACGAGGCAGAAGAAGGTGATGGACAATTGGAAGACTCATTTACGACATCATATAACGACCTGTCTTTATTTTCATCATCATGATAAATAGTTTTGTCACTTCCCATCATTCCACTTTGATCTGATTCAATGTCTATTAGATAACTAACGAGGTGATTCCCTTTTTTGTTATTTTCACTTTTTGTAGATGATAACTGATGAATTATAGAAGTGTCATTAGTAATTTTACTTTTCATTTTACTATGCCTAAGGCTATTGATGTTATTTAACTCCAGTGAATTCATAAAAATACTGTTGTCGTTTTGTTTCATAGCATTAAATTTAATGGATGAATCCATTTCATTGCCGTTATTCAGAGAATCGTACAGAAAAGCAGAGTGTCGGGAAACAGGTGAGACATGTCCATAACTAGTTGTCATTGAATTGGATTCAGGTTGGCTGAATACATCATCTAGTTGATTGGTATTATTCATGAACATCCTAAATAAGAAAAGAAAAATAATAGAAGAAAAAGTTTTCCATTGTGTCCTAGCGATTTCGATTAACTAATCAGAAAAAACAACATGTTCTTTTACTCAGATTTAAAAACTTGTGTTACTAAACTAAACTTGACGTCTACAAATAAGTAAGGTATTTAATATGTTGTAAAAAAGGGAAACAATTTTACAAACGTGATCTCAAAAAAGGGACTTGCTAACAGGTACATATCATTACAGTTGATTGATGCAAACAACAGGACATTCACAAATTTTAACAAACAATAATTATTACCTAGTGCACAAGAAATGTTTGTCATGATTCATGAGTCTAGTAGATCATATTTGTAGGTTTTGAAACAGTTGGCGTTGGACTCGAGTTTAGATCCCGTTGCTAGCCACCTCGTTTCAAATAAAAGCAAAGCAGAATCAGATATATAGTTGAGGTGTATTTTTTGGAATGCATATGTCAATACAGACAGGTCATAAGGGTTTAGTGAAGGAAACAACGAGAAATTTCCAAATTCCAATGTACAAAAATATGAATATGACTAATTCATTGTACACCTCTATATAATTAGGAGGTGTGAATGGAAAATAAACATAAATTTAAAACTATTGTTTGAAGTAAAACCTGATCAGCCAGTCTGACGAGAATATGTTCATACACTTCCTCCGTTATGCATTAAAGCATTAATTTTCATGTGGCACAAAAATTATCCTTTCATTATAGTGTATCATGAATTCAGTGAAAACCATGACACTTTGTAATTTCCATGTGTTTTTTATACGACTAGTTTGGTGTATTCTGGATGTTTGTTATTTTTGGAAATGGATGTGATAATTTTCTTTTGACAGGTCTGAATGTGATATGTAACCTTAAACCTATGTGAAGGAATTCAATTTTATGTTGTTGGTAGAAATTAAAACAACAACTCAATTAATTTGTAAGAGAACAAAATGAAATCAACTTAATATACTTCTCTCTTACTTTGCCAACCTCTTTCTTTAGACAAACGCATCAAGGAGATTTATTGGTAAAGATCAGACTAATATGTCTAAAGGCACTTTCATTCGTCTTCTTGTTCACTTTCACTAACACCCTAGAATTCTTAAACTCAACAATTTGTCTCTTTGATTTTATTGCTGCTTCTAAGTGAGGTCATGTAAATATGTAAATATTTTTACTCAACATTATCAGTAAGCATTTTTGGCTACCATTAATGGTGTTTACCACAGCCTGAGATAATGAACACTAAATACTGTTAAAATTACTGCTAATTAACGAAATTTTTACTCTTTCCAAATAGGCTGCCTAGCGGAATGTGAGACCAGTCACTAACCCTTCACAATGTATGACTTTGAAGTCGTACTGCAAACCGATACCATTTCGGAGTCAAATACCTTATAGATCCCAGCACATAAGCAGAATGGTAGGTTATCAACCTTGTGCCATGATCGTCTAACCGTATATCAGTCACATATTCATGTGTAAGAATTACTGAGGAGTCTCAAACTAGGATGAAATAGTTACTGAGCACTTATTAAATATCATTCATCTTTTTGATAACTTAGGTTCATGAGAAAATCCAACTTTAAATCAGTCAAATTTTTGAAAACTCAATGACTTAACATGTTATAAGTCACATGGGCCATAGGACAATGTTCATTGCTCTATAACTGTAAAAATAAGAATATTTACCTAAATGTTATATAACTGTCTTGATAACGTATTTAGATATCTGAGGGACATATTGACTCTAAACGGAACTTCCCGATCGAGTTGTTTCATGTGTTATTTCATAATACGAACAGTAAGGGATGTCAGCCAACTGCTTAACAATAGATTTTTTTATGATACTGACCGAATAAATAGCAATGAAACATATCTGATCGCAGCTATTGATTCCAAATTTTTTATTCATTGTTTTATTGCAAAACTGACTCTCTTTAAATCTTGTTCGTAGAAACAGTAAGGTTGATCTTGATAATACACTTGTAAGTTGATAACCAAATACATATCAAGCCATTGAGCTAAGTAGAGTAGTGCTGCTTTAATCATATGATATGATTATGAGCAATAGTTTGTGCGCGAAACGTCATCAGTTAATATTGCTGTATAACACTGTGTGATTTATCAAAATAAAATCTTATCCATAATGGAGTTATGCTCTACCACAGTGCCCAAGTTTTATACTTATATCAATAATACACATGGTACTGCTAAAGACTGCAGTAAATTTCACTAATGACAAGTATTAGCATCCTGATTAAGATTGAAACGTTTCCTCTTCTTTAACCTTGTAATGCGGTAATAGTCCGAATAGCAACAACATAAGGAGAAATTACATCTACAGCTATTATTATAAGATAATAAGTGAAATAATTGACCAGACGAGGCTGCTAACCGCTGAGTAGGATTATCTGATTTTGTGAAATTGTTAAGAAAGAAATGATAAGTTGGAGGCCATGGGAATTAATGAAGTAGTTACATACCTCTTCATCTACTTTCCATAGTTATTTGATGTCTCACTAACACTGTCTAGGACTAATCAGTAAATTAACAAAATCTCACTTCTTCTTGAATAAGTCATCAAGTAACACACAGATAAGTCTAATAAATTTTTGGCTGGGGAAGAGTGAATAGGCAGATATTATGAATTTTTAAACTGAAGTATATTACTTCATAATAAAAATTAGAAGCGATTACAGCGAAAAATTTCAAACCGCATGTTGAAAATACTCCAAAATGAAAAATTCCCCCTTACCAAAGTCAGTTTAACTGAATCAATCAACTTGAATTATGCACTAAAAAAATGAAATATCCCATTGTATCCTCTCATCTAAGTTAGGGAAAAGGAAGTTTTTTAAATAAATGAATGAATGAAAAGTTGACAGTCTTAGTGTTTGAAAAATGACAAATTATCTATCCCTATAGACTATATACCCCACAATTCCATTAAGCATAATGCTAATTTTGTTTAATGTGTGTATTAGGCCATGGGCAATGAAACAGTTTCAAAATGTGACAGTATCGAATCACTAGTTTTATGTTCCAATTTCACCAAAGCATCCTTCATATCAGTAAGAAATAAATAAGGTAGTGAAAGGAAAAATGCTATGCATTTAGTAATTTATCATGATTTCAGTAATTTCAGACAGTATTGTTGTATTTGGGCGTGTGTATAATTTTTTTTAAAGATAGAATGCACACTTATACACTTGGTAAATTGCCTTGAAAGCGGACGTGGGTTCATGAGTCGAAATTTGGGTGATCTGTCTTAACACACAATAAAATTCTACATGTCATCAGTAACATAGGGAAGCAAAACAATCAATCACCGGAGAAATAACAGAAATGTTTTATGAACTTTAACAGAATGTCTGAAAATCTATACGGTAGGGGTGTGAATTATGATACAAAAAATATATATCTGAGTAAGATTTCATTACAGATAGATTTTCACAGTTGTTTACTGCTTTTGGTCTATTAAATGAGTATCAGGCTTAGTGTATCATGGGAGTTAGGTCCATTTATATGTTTTTCAATCTGAGACTCACTTGTTTTCTTTCTCTGTGTAATTTGAATGCAGATTTCTTTGTGAAATATACTAAGAAGATCCTGTCTATGCTGGAAAGCAAGATTTGATAACAAAGACATATCCTGAAGGATATGTTGATAATTAAATTAATATCTATTCTGATATTTTTCGGGGAAAAGTGTTGTCTTAAGAAAAAATTTAATAATTCATATATTTTCCAGATGACATTTCTTCAAATCAAATGATTTCCTAGTGCTTTTTCACCTATCAATGTCCATTAACTACAGATAAATTACTGGTTACGGTATTGAATCAGATCCTGACATTGAGAATTAGGGATATTTGTAAGAAAAACAATGTAAGAGAGGTTCATAAAATAAGGAATTAAAAATAATCAAATAAATGATCACGTGTATTTAAAATATAGTCTGATATATGATCAACCTTTCCTTTCATCTGGACGATTAATCGTAAGCATTAGAATTATTACTGCTTGTTTAAAACAAACTAAATTTTGAATTCGTTGGGCCAATAAATTTTGTCACTGCTTAGGCATAGAAATGGAGCACTCTGGTAAAATATTATTCTATGTTAAATAATCTAATACAGCAATATTATAGTATTACTAACTGAGCTCAATTTATTGCTCATAAGTATGCTAAGGTATTCACACAGCTTCGTAACTTGTGTATAGTTGTGCTCCTTCCAAAATAGATGTGAGAAGTCATATGAATACTATGGTTATACTTATGAGTAATAAATTGTGGTCAGGGTGTCATTCAATTAACAATACTTTATTACTATTTCATATCAGGTAGACATTTCTAGTACGGAACTAAAAGATACTTCATGGAACCTAAATGAAACAGGATTACATTTACCAACATGCACCTAAGGAAAAAAATTATAGGAAATTCTTTTCTAAGATTCACTGAGAACGTAAGAAAGATTTCTGTTTTTATGAAAGCAACAAGGTGAAATACGCACATATACGTGAAATTATAATGTGGTGGTGTGATACAGACAATGTGTTCCAACGGAATATGATTCTCACATATTCCCACAGTTCAATACTGCGTTAGCAACAGAATACTATATATATATATATATATATATATATATATATAAACAGTGGTTTGATTAATGAAAATTTATATTGGCTTCCGTGTCTCGCTTTCGGTTGTTACACTAGGAAAGTTTTGTGAATGAAGAGTGTTCAGTTTTCTACAAATTATGAAATTTGAACGTGAACTTTTCATCTCCAGGATTAGTGACATCCTTGGTACATCTGAGTCTGTTCAATGGAATCTTGTCGGATGACCACTTACAATATTGTAATGAAAGACAGTAGACAACAAAAATGGTGTAAGCAATCAAATCCGAAATACAACATTCTATGAATTTCATCGATACCCTGGTAAACACATTTAGTATGGACTAGGAGATACTTGGAAATCGCGG